GGGTATCTGTTATTCTGTATATAACCCACCCTGAACCCCCTTGATTAGATTCCAGTCCGTAACTCACTCCCAGGTATCTGTTACTCTGTATATAAACCACCCCGAACCCCTCGATTAGATTCTAGTCTGTAATCCACAACAGGGTATCTGTTATTCTACCTAACCTGCCCTCACTAGTGTGTGCAGAGAAAGATGTGTACGGTGCAGGAGAGGTTGCAGATTGCACAAATTGGGAGTATGAAGAGGGTGAACGATGGATGGATGAAAGGAAAGAGGGGTGCTGTTTCAAGGGGTTCACTTACCCACTCATCCTGTAGAGCTTTGAGGATTGCTGGGATGCTGGTGGCTGAGGGAGGCTTTGGTCTGATAGGATGGCTTGCTGCAGGCATAAACAAAAAAAAAGAACAATTTGATTTAGCAACTCCTCAGGACCTCTGGTCAGTGCCAGCGAAACACAGGGCCCTCCACTGTTGGAGGGGCTGCACCACAGTGGGTACAAGACCACACTCAACTGGAATGGTTCCACCACGGGAAGGTCAGGAGCAGGCCATTTACAGCCATACAGCACAGAAACAGACCTTCGGTCCAACTCGCCCTTCTGGCCATTTGCCAGCATTTGGCCCATATCCCTCTAAACCCTTCCTACTTTTAAATGTTGTAACTGTACCAGCCTCCACCACTTCCTCTGGCAGCTCATTCTATACATACACCACCCTCTGTGTGAAAAAGTTACCCCTCAGGTCCCTTTTAAATCTTTCCCCTCTCACCTTAAACCTGTGCCCCTCTAGTTTTGGACTCCCCTACTCTGGGGAAAAGACCTTGTTTATTCACCCTATCCATGCCCCCTCATGATTTTATAAACCTCTATAAGGTCAACCCTCAGCCTCCGACTCTCCAGGGTAAAGAGCCCCAGCCTGTTCACCGTCTCCCTGTAGCTCAAACCCTCCAACCCTGGCAACATCCTTGTAAATCTTTTCCAAACTCTTTCAAGTTTAATAACATCCTTCCTATAGCAGGGAGACCAGAATTGAATGCAGAATTCCAAACGTGGCCGAACCAACGTCCTGTACAGCCGCAACATGACCCTCCCAACTCCTATACTCAATGCATTGACCAATACAGGTACCTACTCATGTCCCAGATTCCATCCCAACACCCCCCCGTCACTCGGAACCCAGTCTCAATCATTAACTGTACAGAGGTACATTGTCTCTATCTATGCCAGTCGGGGGGTGTATTGAGTGTCGATGACCCTCACCACCTCGGGACTGGTTTGTGCAGAGTCAGAAATCGAGCAATTCTACCCCCGCAAGACACTGGACCCAGCTCAATGCACTGATGAATACAGGCAAGCATACCAAACCCATCTACCTGTGGCTCCACTTCACCTCCCCGAAGGTATCACCTCCACCTGTCTCCTGGAGGTTCAATTCCTTTGGCCATTGGCCAGTCCACTGAGCTCTCCCTGCAAGCTGCAGCTTCTCACCTGCACCACATCCAGAAAACTGTCTTTTCTGTTGTTCACAAACCTCTCGGTCAAGGCACGTACCTCTAAACCGCTGTGACAGACCACCAGAAGCAGGGGACACTGTAATCGACGTGGTGGGCACCCACCTTGGACATTTCGGTCTCAAAAAACACCCATCCAATTTGACCTTTTTTTATTCTTGTCACTGAGCAAATGTTGTGTTTGATTTGTTCCATTCCCCTGGGTCCTATGGGCTTTCATTTCTTTTTTTTTATTATTCAAAACAGTCTCCCATCTGGGACCTTCTTTTAAAAAAAACTTGATTAAATCCACGTCAACGGCATCACTGACCCTGCTGGCGAACCCTTGTTACGTTCTCAAAGGATTCGACCAAGTTAAGCAGACTCAACTTCCCTTGTCCCATCGATGGTTAATCCACACCTTTTGTTCATCCTATCCCTCAGGGCCGAGTTTAATCATTTGCCTGCGACTAAAGGTTGCTCTGCAATTATTCAGTGTACACCTTGCTCCCTTTGTAAAAGAGATGTCCAGATCCAGGGGTCGCAGTCTAAGGATACAGGGTAGGCTGTTTCAGACGGAGATGGCGGAGAAACGTCTTTGCCCTGAGAGTGGGGGGAGCCTGTGGAATTCTCTGCCACAGAAAGCAGTTGAGGGCAAAACACTGCATGTTTTCAAAAAGAAGTTAGGTACAGTTCTTAGGGCCATAGGGATCAAAGGGTGTGGGGGAGAAGGTGGGACCGAGTTGGATGATCAGCCATGGTCCTGCTGAATGGCAGACGAGACTCGAATGGCCTGCTCCTATTGTTGAGACGTTCCTACCTAAATAAAAGTACGATATTAGCACCCTCCGACACCACGCTGTATCCTGGGAGGATTGGGAAATGACAGTCACACCACCTGCTGTTTGCTCTCTCGTTATTTTGAAATGACACGGAGCATATTTCATCGAATGCTGGTGGTGGGGAGCTGCCCCCTCGAACCGCTGCAGTCCATGTGCTGGAGTTGGACCCACAACGTGCCCCTTACGGAGGGAATTCCAGGATTCTGACCCAGCGACGCTGAAGGAATGGCCGATATATTTCCAAGTCAGGATGGGGAGTGGCTTGGAGGGGAACTTGCAAGGGGTGGTGTTCCCATGTATCTGCTGCCCCTTGCCTTTCCAGATTGAAATGGCCATGGGTTTGGGAAGGTGCTGTTCTGAGGTGAATTTCTACACGGCATCTTGTAAATGGAAGAAAAATCTTGGGAGCCGCCTACAAACAGCGTTGTGGGTTACCCTACAGCCTAGAGAGTGCAGAGGTTCAACAAGGCAGCTCACCACCACCTTGTCAAGGGGCAACTAGGGACTGGGAACAAATGCCCGCATCCCACAAATGAATAAATAAAAATTCATCTTGCTCCGTCTTTGCCCCTATCTCCTGCAGAGCCCTCCCCTCTTTATTCTTTTTCCCCTTCGTTTCTCACTGTCACTCCCCTGTCAGTATAGTCCAGGCGGTGTGGTGAGCACCTGTTTTGCTCTGAGGAACCTCCAAGAAAGTTCATGCACTGATGCAGCAATAAACTGCCTGCCACAGGAGCGGAAGTGGAGATAACCAATCGCCTCAGATACACTGAAAGGGTCTTTGAGGGGAATAACACTTGTCAGGCAACAGGGGGATGGGGACTAACTGGATTGCTTTAGAGGGGCTGGCGTGCACGCAGTGGGCCGAACCGGCCCTCAGGGACGGGACAGACTCGCAGGATTTGGCTTGTCCCAAGACCCCGTTTCCCAGGGCCTCCACACTGCATTTTCTCGCCCGTTTGGCGAGCCGCTCCAGCTGTGCGTTTGGGGCTCAGTGTGTTTGCCTCAAGGCTGCGGTCTTACCTTTGATGTCGATGAGTTGGTCCTCAGACAGGGGCTGCCCATTGATGGGGTCTGTCCCATTCTCCGCAATGTACTTCTCAATGAGCCGCCGCTCAAACACGTGGTTGGAGACTGGAGAGACACAAGGGTGCTCCGGGACCTCATTCGAAACTGAAAGCAGAGAAAGGTTTCAGATTCGCAACGTCTAGTTAATGCTGGAGAAGGGGCAGAATGGCCTCCTCCTGTCCCTATCAGAATAAGTATCTTTGAGACATGCAAATGGGAATGCACATCTCAGCAGCCCAATGTGCCTTGATGGAGACTATTGGATGAGATGTTCAAGGAGACAGCACCTTCTCTCTGAAGCGTTTGGACAGACATGGCTGGGACCACAGCTCCACTCGCTCTCCACCATACTCTGGTCCAAACTCTCATCATATGTCCAACCCAGTCCCTGCTGACCAACCAGGTTAACCCGAATAATCCCATCCCTGTTTCCATAAGCTCCCCCAGCTCCTACACCCCTCCCAATCTCTGTAACCCCCTCCAGCCCCTAGACCCCCTCCCTATCTCTGTAACCTCCTCCAGCCCCTGCACACCTCCCCATCTCTGTAACCTCCTCCAATCCCTACACCCCCTCCCTATCTCTGTAACCTCCTCCAGCCCCTCCCTATCTCTGTAACCTCAAACTTGGTGTCCTTCCCGCTTCTGTATTGCACCTGTGTCATTATGATACATTCAGGACAGCACACAGAAGGGAAACCCACCTTCCCAAATGGACAAGGGGGTCTGCCATCAAATAAAAAGCAGTGATGGAACAGCACTAAAAACAAGTATTGTGTTTTCCAGAGGAAATCCTGGCCCTCGTACACACACCCACGGGGACACTGACACCTTGTATAGCAACATGGGAACTTCAGACCTGAGATGCTTCTGGCAGGACATGCAGATGCTTGGGAGATACAAACCACATCTCCAAATGTTTACAGCTCACACAAAGTAGTACTTATTGGGTTTCAGACAGACACAGAAAACGCTGGAGAAACTCCGACAGCATCCATGCTATGGCACAATCCCTGGAAACACAGCTCCCATCAGACGAAGCACTGGAGAGACAGAAACGGGATGACGCCCATCGGCCAGTGTGTGTATATTCCCTCTCCCACAGCACTGCAAACTTTCCCTTCCAGCACACAGCCAATTCCCCGGTTGCAGTGACCCTGTAGAATCTGCTCCCACCCGTGCCCTCAGGCAGTGGGTTCCAGATCACATCAACTGACTGAGGCAAAGAATACAACTTGTCTTCCCTCTTAATCCCTGTCTCTCTGCTTCCCACACCCCCTGGAACTGGAAATAGTTTCTCCCGACTGATTCAGAACCCCCTTCCTGAATGGGAATGCCTTGATTCAATCTCCCCATTAACTTCCTCCTCCTCCTCCTCTCTGAGGACAGCAATCGCAGTTTCTCCTCATGTTCACTTCATCCCTGGCACCACCCTGACCAAACGTTCCTGCCTGCCTTCATTAACCTTTGGCCCTATTGTTATAGCCAAGAATTTGCATCCCTCCACCTCAAAAAATAATACAATGACCCCGATACCCACTGTTCCCCATAAACCCATGGCCCTTAAAGAGAAAAATATTGTTCCTTAAACGCCACATTATTAAATTTCATTCCAGGTTTCCCCCACAAGGGGAAGCAACCTTTAAGGCTCTTGCGAGGATTTGTAACTCAGGTTGTGGATAAGTTTGTTGACTTGCTTGCCGAGCTGGCTGGTTATCATACAGACATTTTGTCACCATGCTAGGTACCATCATCAGTGCAGCCTCTGATGAAGCGATGTTGTTCTACTCCACTTGGTATTTATATGATCCAGTCTGTTAAATTGGGTTGTGTCGTTTCTGGTCCTGTTCTGCATGGGTTTGTATACGGGGTCTAATTCCACATGTTTGTTGATTGCATTGTGGGTTGCAAACCAGGCCTGTAGGAATTCCCGTGCGTGTGTGTGTTTGGCTTGAGCTGGGATGGTCACATTGTCCCAGTTAAATTGATGGCCTTCATTGTCCGAGTGCGCTGAGATGAGGGAAAGTTTGTCATGTCATTTTGCTGCTAGCTGGTGTTTGTGTATATAACCATCAGGATACACTGATGATGGTACCTAGCACGGTGATGAAACGCCTGTATGATAACCAGGCAGATCAGCGAGCGAGCCAACAACCTCGAAAAACCACCGTTCAGCATCCACTCTGTCAAACGCCCCTCTGACAAACCTTGCATTCCCCAGTAAGTTCACCATTCATTTTTCTGAGTTCCAATGAAGCCACACCTAACCTTCCCTCATGAAACAAGCTCCTGCATCCCAGGAATTAGCCTAGAGAGAACCAAAGAAAAAGAGAATGGTGCAGAAATCAGCAGGTCTGGCAGCATCCGTGGAACGCGGAACTGAGTTTACGTTTCTAGTCCTGTGACTCTCAAGACATCCAACTCTTGTCTTCTCTCCAGAGATGCTGGCCAGACCTGCTGAGTTTCTCCAGCCTTCTCTGTGCTTGTTTGATCCAGATCTCCAACAACTGCATATATAGGTTAGCCAAGAGTGAATTTTCTCTGAGCTGTTTTCAATGCGATTACACTGGGTTTCCCAGTAAGGAGACCAAAACTGCTCATAGCGCTCCAGGTGTGGTCTCACCTACTCCCTGTTCATCTGGAATAAGACTTTCAGTTGAGGTTGGTTGGCTCGCCGAGCTGGTTTGTTGTTCCGCAGATGTTTCGTTACCGTGCTTGGTAACATCCTCAGTGCAGCCTCTGATGAAGCGTCGGTGTGTTTTCCCGCCTGGTTTTTAAACTCTGGGGTCCGTTGCGATGGATTGCCTCACTTCCGGGTTTCCTCCGTAGTGGAATGTA